TTTTTTTTTACTTCCCAGCTACTGCGATGCATTAAAAAATGCTGAGCGATTCAGTCAAAAATTATGACTTACGGGTCTGGTTTTCCAAATTTTAACAATAAATAAGTGAAGACCGAATTTTGCAAAAAAAAAAAATGATTTTAAATTGGCATATTATATAAACTGTTCACTAACTTTGACCAGATTTTCTGGAAGGCGAATATCGATCTCTTTGAGCGGTTTCGAAGCCGTATGAAAATGTGAAACACCAAACTGCTCCGGACCCATTCAGCTGTGGTACTTCTCAAAGCACAAATAGCCCAGAAGGTTGATCTGAATTGTCCAAGCTGAGCTTTATCAGCGATAATGACAATCGATGAAAAATAAGCGCAATCACTAGAACTCGGCAATTACTGGAACTTAGCTCAGCTCAGCTCGGCTCGGCTCGGCTCTGTCAGAGTCATACACAAAGAGTGAAAAGTGCTACTGGCGTTCGGGAGGTAACGTTACCCACGGTGGGTGGGGCGGATGTCCGATGTAGGAGGTAGGAAGGAGAGAAAGACGGCGAAGTGCGGTACTGATTTATGTCACGGAAACCCGGGTAGGGAAAGCGTCGAATTACTGGAACTTAGCTCAGCTCAGCTCGGCTCGGCTCGGCTCGGCTCGATCAGAGTGCACTTATAGTGGGGATAGGGAGGGGTTCAGATTTTGCTTTGCAGACAGGATTTGGGAACAGGGTAGAGAAGCAGGACGAGGACACAAGTCAGGAGCTCAAGAGCAAGAACTGAAGGCAGCAGTAAAGAGGAAGAGACAACACAGCACTATAAGGAAAAGTGAATGAAAGCAAACCTGAGCCTATGAAAAAAAAAAGAAAAGAAAAACAAAAAAATCTGAACCCAAGAATAAAAGCCAAGAAAAAATGAACCTATGCGTGTAGAAAGTGCCCTACAAAAACCCACCGACAGTAAGGGGTTTCCCTATTTACGAAGCTCATGCTTAGGTGAAGCTGAGGGCGAATAAGCTCAGTTGGATTTACACAAAAATTCCACACAATAATTCTGATGTATTGCTTCCGGTAGACTGCGACTGTACATAGTATTTACACCCTCGTTTTACTCTCCACAATCCCACAGAAGCAAAAACAGTTTTCAACACTATGCACCCAGTCCAACCTTCTTTTTGCTCACTTCATATCCTTCGTTATTGTCCTTAACACTCGTAAAAAAACAGTACTCCCCAGGTCCTCAGCTCTATCAAAACCTGATCGTAATACGTGAACGGACCCTTCCCACAATGGGCGATAACCAGAACCCGGAATGACCCGGCCAGGATAGGCTCACCCGCTCTTGAGAGACGTCCTCGTTTCTTAGCTAACGCTATTTTGTGGTTTCACATGCCAGCACCACTTGGCATGATGCCACCGGGTGTTGGGTAGCGTTACCCGAACGTTTGGGTAGCATGTTTGAGCTGCGAACAGCCGGGGTTATGGGGCGACTGAAATGCTGGTTGACTAGGGAGTGGTTAGTTATGCGGAGCTGG